GGGTTTATAATGTAATATTGAAAAGTCAAGGTATTAGATAATATTTAACCATGTCTTTTGTGTATTTGAAGCGGCTGTAAAAGTGTCCAAAATATTTGAAGAAGTCTAAGAGGTCTGTTCAAGCATTGCTACGTGGAAAGCTGAACCGACAAAATTTGGTTTAATGCTTGGAGGCTGCTGGCCATGGAGGGGGTAGATTCAAAGGTTTTGAGATGGAAACAGAGGCATATAAAGGGTTGGACTGTTGCTGCCAAAACAGTGTGTCTATGCAGAAAAACAGAGGGAAAATCAAAGAAAGAGTAAAAATTGAGTTTTGCTTGGAAGAAAAGCCAGCAGGTGTGGCTACTGAGCAGAAACACTTTTTGTAAGTTCTTTTATAGTTTACTGTGTGGTTTTTCTTGCTGAAAAATCAGATTGGTCTTTCCCTTTGTATTGCTTGATATTGTGATCATTCTTGATGAAATATAACAGTGTTTCTTGAGTAAAATTAGTGTGGTAGTATAGTAGATTTTTGTCCCCTATTTATTTTATTTTGTGTTCCTTTGGTGATCTATTTTGCTTTCAATTCCCAACACACTGGAGGCTTCAACATTGTGGTAACAAAGGTTTCATAACATGATCCCAACCCACGCAATAGCCAAAATACTTTGTTCTTGTTAGGAAATGGTTTTCCTATGGCAGCAACGTTATCACAAATTGCCTTAAATTTTCTCAAATAGTCATTGAGAGAATCTATACCTTTTTGAACTGTAGATAATTCTTGTGTGAGATGAAACTCATGCTCTTGAGTATCTCGAGCAAAGGCATCTTCAAGAGAACGCCAAACTTCAGTAGAGGTGTTGAGTCCAAAGACAATTCCTAACACATCCTCTGAGAGGGTGCCAGTTATCCAACCTTGGAGAAAGCGATAGGAGCATTTCCAATCTGTGAAGTCTGGATTAGGAACGTCCTTTGATCCTTCAGTAGCGGTGCTGTTTGAATCAAGAATTAAATGGTGGTGGCATGGCTACGTCACCAGTGAGAAAGTCATGAAGGTGTTGACTCTCAACAAGTGCTATGACTTGGGTTTTCCATGACAGATAGCTCCATTGGGTCAGCCTAATGGAGACAAAGTTTCCAACATTAAGTGTTGGTGGAAATGATTCACAAACACGGGCGTGCGCGCACACACACTAATAGTATTTTTTTTAACTATAACATGCTCATGTTTGCGCCGACTATTTTCTCATGCTCAGATACTAATCTCCATAGCCTGAGCGGGTTTAGAACATGTTCGATAAGGAACAAGAGTGACTGGTCCTTAAAAGATATATGAAGTATTGAACCTTGGACTTTTGATTACCAGAAGTTAGACTAATGCTCCGTTTGGTAGGAAGGATGAAAAGTACGAGAGATACACTTTCTATCCTTCATGGAAGGAAAATATGAATAATACACTTTCCTTCCTTTGTGTTTGATTGGATGGATGGAAAAAAAAAAAAGACTATTTTTTTTTGTTTTTGTGCGGGCTAAAATTAAGGATAACATTCGAGTCGTGTCATGTCATGTCAGATTCGTGTTGATTCATTACGGGTTTGTGTCGAACATTAGTTAAATCTAACTCAACTCATTTAGTTAATTGTGTCGCGTCGAATTGTGAGCTGACCTGTTTATTTTCGTGTCGTGTTTGTATTCGTATTGATCCACATAAACTTTGAATAAAAAAATTTATACTAATATTTTTTTTAAAAATTTAATTTTAAAATATATATATAAATACATATTTAATCATTTTATTTTTATAAGAAATTAATGTATACATAATATATGTATATATTAAAAGATATATAAACAAATAAGATACATCTCAACACAAATAATTAACTTTCTATCCATTTTCTTTCCGATTTTAGAGGGATTGATTTTGGTGAGTTGGAAGGAAAGTTAATCTATCCACTTTTTCATCCTTCCTATTTTTCTTATTTATCAAACATGATGTTTTATTTATCCCTCTAACTTTCCATTCTTCTAACTTTTCATCATTCAATTTTTCCATCATAACCCGAGCATAAGGGTTACATGCTATAATCCTTGTAGCATGTTTTGTCATCCCTTTTGTTCACTCCATATCAAGTTTTTGTATGGTGAAATTCAGTAGAAAATGTTGATTGTTGAAGATTGATCCGAGTTTTTCTGCATGAATTCTGGTAAATTTGAATTAATTATTCGATTTTACTGTAAATAGCACTCAAGAAATTTAATTTTAATAGGTTTTGTACAGTTAAAAAAATTATCATCCAGTGGAGTATATATTCCAGTTACTTAGGACGCTGTTATGTTACCAATAATATTTTTTAGACATAATTAATTAAATAGTACCTATTCGTAATGGTGGATGCAATATACCCCTGTCATTATGAAGTTGAAATCAGAAAAAGATATACATATTTCATTGCAAGATGAATTATAATATTCATAGAATTTTTTTTTTGGGTTGGACTTGGGTAGGGTAGACCTAAGTTTTTATCCGAGTCAGTTATCGAGCGAGACGGGTTGGGCCGAGCTTCGGATAGGGGTAGGCTACCCGCAGCCCAACCTGCCACTCACTGGGAAGGCCTATTGGGCGGGCCTGTTGGGAGGGTCTGTAGGCTGGCCTACTGGACCAACTTTTTTATATACAATTTCATTTAGAAATAATTAATACTTTTGTAACTTAATATTTTTGAATTAAAAATAGAGTCAAAATAGACAAAAAGTAAATAATAAATAATTTTATTTATAAATAGGGGAGGAAATGCATCACAATAGAATGAGCACATCTCAACTAGGTTGACATCTACCTACATATCTTATAACTCTACCTTTTAAAGTTTATATATTTAATATATAAAAAATAAAATAATACATTATTTATAATATATAAATTTCTAAAATTTTGAATTTTGGCATTAGAGGACTTATTTCCATGATTTGATAGGGCTGGGTGGGCGGCGGGTTCTTGGGTTGGGTTTTACTGGGTTTTTTTGCAAGCGGGTTATTGGGCCGGGTTTCGAGCTAGGTACTTGGTTTGGGAGTAGGGTCAATCTCTCTCTTAAAAGATATTGAGCTCGGAATCGAGCACCCAGCTATCGGGCCTAACAGGACCTATGGGCATTCCGGCCCATGGACACCCCTAGTAGGGAAGTTGAATGGTAACAATGTTATCCAAAATATATACAATAAGAATATTGTAATAACTCTATAATCACTAAGTATACTGTTATATACAAACTATTAAATAAAATAGAATGTTTAACAAAATATAATTGACTTACAATGACATAGAACAAGAAGAATAATAATAATCCAAAAATAATTCGAATCCTGTGTACTCACAGTTCCCTGAAGATAGATTTGCTCTCTTTCTCGGTGCTGAATGTTGATAAGTAACTGTCTCTCAAGCTAGAATGTATTTTGTTCTTGAAGATGTAACACTTAAATCTTCAAGACTCCAATGAATACAATTTTGTGTTTTATACTTGAACCGTAAATAAATACAATGCAGAAAGAGAGAGGATGCAACAATATGCACAAAGTTTTTGTCTATTTTTCGTAATTGAAATGAGTTGGAAGGCAGTGTATTTATAAACCATTATTGTCTGTTCAGAATGCCTGAAAAAGCACGGGATACCACTATTCGTTGAGCCTGTTCGGATTGAATTGACACGCTTTTAATCTGAACAATAACTAAATAAAAAGACACATTTGGAATAAACAAACACAATTCAATTAGTTTCAACATCTAATTCAAATTTAACGGACCAACGGTTGTAGAGTTATAGGACGGTATTGGACAATATATACAAAAGAAGTTAAACAAGATGAGAGTTTCGACCATATTGCATACAACAGTGGACGATTTGGTGACATCAAAATGTGGAATGACATCAAAATAAAAAATGTCACACTTTACGATTTCACCGAGCCGTATCAGTTCTCTTTGGGGATCAAAGCTCATAACGTTTTTATTTCCCACAAGACCACTTCCATTGTTTATCAATAAAACTGTTTTTAAAAAAAAAAAACCACCAATTTTTGAACTTGCAGCATCAATCAGTTGTGGTGTATCTTCCCATAGCTTTGTCTATGCCCCCTTTTCCCTGGCATTCTGTTTGCTTTTGTCTTCCACACTTCCCTAATCAAACATGTTAATATCTCCTGTTATTAGCTTTTTGTCATCACTTTTGTTCACTCCATATCAAGTTAAATGATGAAATTGAACCGAAAATGTTGGTTTGATAAAAGTGACCTGAAATTTTCCTAAAAATTTATCATCAGTGATAACAAGTTGAAGGACCCACTAAATAAAATCCCATGATATAAGTGAAAACCAAGAAAAAAAATGAAGGGTCTACATCTACTCCAGTTATTTAAGAGGTAAGTTAAAAAAAACAAAAAAAAAAATATTTTAGAGGATATTGTTGTAATGTCCTATTCATGATGGAGACGTTAAATACAACTTTCATGCAAACTTTTCCGGCACAATACACATTGAAATTTCTACCAAAAAAGGAGAGAAAGAATGACGATTTTCCTTCCCCATCCTCCTTGAACTCTACATCATCCCCACCAAAACATCTTTCAATCCTCCTTCTCCTTCTCCTTTTACCCACAACTTCTCTCATCTGACCATCTATCTCCTAGATCCCCAATTTTACTGCCCTTGGTTCACTGCTCCTAGGTCTACCCACCCACCCCTGTTTCTTCCCCTTTCTCATTCAATACTACATCTGTAGATTCCCCACCATCAATACCTTCCACCTTACACCATTAATGTTTCTCTATTTTTTATCCACCAAAACTCTAGCCATAAATATGTCTATCCTCTTTGAAAACCCAAATCTCTCAAATACGGATAACGTATCAATCCCCTGCCCACCGAAGGACCAAGAGGTACTTGCGCAACCATTCCAAATGGAGCTAGAATATTCACACAATAGATTTGTGCAATCTCTAATGGGAATCCTTAGAATGGTCCAGACATGCACAAGGGAGACTCAAGCGAAAAGGCAGTCGAGATTACCAGCTCTTTGGCAATAGAGGCTAACCCACAGGTAAACCCATATCCTTACACTACTTCTATTCTCATTTTTGAATCCTCTATTAGGAGAAAGGAAGGTGTGACCCATGCTTTGCCAAATGAGGTGAGGCAAGAATCTTTGGTCACCATAGTACCACTTGAACAATTACCCCGAGGTGAGGGTAGATTGAAACAAGCTACCTCCTGGAGCCAAGTTGTCAAGAATGGAGTGGGTCTGGACTCAAATTTTGGTGGATCAGCTAATCAAAAAGCCATGTCCCTTAAATTTTTTGAACCCATTAGGGATGCTCAAAGGATTGTGGTCTCACCCCCGAGGGATATAGCAGCAAAAGGCTGTAAGGAGTGGGAAGCATGCCTTGTGGGGTACTTCATTGGTAGGAAATTTCCCTTCCCGGTGGTCAAACAGCTTGCCTTTAGGCTATGGAATAGACTACGACTCAATGAAGTCTTGGCCAGTAACACTGGGTTCTTCTTTTTCAAATTCAATGATGAAGCAGCTAGCTCCAAGGTGCTTGAAGAAGGTCTATGGATGTTTTCTGGGAAACCAATTTTACTCAAAAAAGTGGCACCCCAAACTTCGTCTTGCCAAAGATACACACTCCAGGATTCCAGTGTGGATCAAGCTCTACAACATTCCACTGGAATACTAGAATGAGGAGGGTTTAAGTCACATTGCTAGTGCAGTTGGTAAGCCCCTTTATGCTGATTCCCTCACTACGTCAAAGCAAAGGATCACTTATGCCAGATTATGTGTTGAACTGGAAGTAGACAAGGAGGCCATTGAATCTTTTGACTTTAGTATGAAGGGCATTGATGATAATGCGGATGAAGAGGTCATTGAGATTACTATTGAATATTAGTGGAAACCTAGGATATGCACAGAACGCAAGGTGTTTGGACATAGTAACTCTAATTGTCCTATGGGTACAGCTAAGAAAGTATGGAAACAGAAGACACCCTTAGAAAAGGGCAAATGTATGGTTACTGATCCAGTTATAGCAGAACAAAGTCAAGAGTAGAATCAAGAGACTCTAAATAAATGTAGTACAAGCTCAAGTGTCCCCCTAAGTTATCTCAATAGTCTTAAGAGGAGATTCTTTCTCCTACTGGGAATGTAGTAATCCAGACCTCCCCTACTCTTAAGGCTCCTGTTAACATTGCGACTTGTAATAAGTTTGCTAGCCTTGTGGTGGATCTTTCTGAGAAGCAAGTGAACGACATGGAGAAATTAGTTTCCCCGATGAAAAGCCTCCTAAGCAGCAAAGTGAAGAACATTTATGGAATTTCAATTGGTACAACTAGAAAGAAGAAACAAAAGCAAAAATCTCCTAACCAAGAGAAAGTTGGGGTTCCTAAAGCCTAGGGTCAAGGTTTACCCAAACCCAAATGATCAATCTATCTTGCTGGAATTTTAGGGGTCTTAACTCCATCCCTAAACAAATGGAGATTAGAAAATTAATTTTTGAACAGCAGCTTGACTTGGTTGGTATAGTTGAAACCAAGGTTAAGGTTGTTAATAAAGATGTTGCCAGGAGAACGATCATCAGAGATTGGTGCTGGTGTGATAATTACAACAGTCACACACTGGGTAGGGTATGGATTGAGTGGAATCCTCAAAGGATCAGTGTACAAAAATTAGCTGAAATGGACCAAGCTATTCATTGCAAGGTCACGTATCATGCAAGCATGACATCATTTGCACTTACTATGGTTTATGGTTCTAATGATGATATTGAGAGGAGAAGACTTTGGAGGGACATGGAGGGTGTATCAAGAACTACTATCAATGATCCCTGGATAATCCTTGGGGACTTTAATGGTGGTTCTGCTAGGAGAAGCTTGGCCATGGATGATTTTGAAAATGTCATACATGCAGCTGAAATCACTGACTTGAGATACTCTGGTGTTCAATTTACTTTGTGTAATAATAGGGATTCAAGTTGTATTGTCAGGAAACTGGACAGAGCTATGGTCAATAATGCTTGGATTCTTAAATTCCCAATGGCAGCAACTGAGTTTCTTCCTGCTAGTATTTCTAATCACAACCCCATTGTGGTTAAATCAGGGAATGATATCAAAGCTAAAATATGCCCTTTTAAGTTCTTCAATTTCATTGCAGAGAGGGAGGATTTTCTTTCCATTGTTAGTAATGTTTGGCAAGCTCAAGTTAGGGGAACTATTCAATTCCAAGTCAACCGAAAGCTAAAGCTCTTGAAAGTTGAGTTTAAAAAAATCGACAAGGAAAAATTTGGTGATGTTACTATCAAGGCTATTGAGGCAAAGGAGCAACTTTTGGCTTGTCAAATCTGGTTATCAACCCATTTGACAAATCACTCAGGATTCTTGAAAAAATTTGGTGGGAAAATGCTTTAAGGCCCTAAAGATTGAGGAAGACTTGCTGATGCAGGTGACAAAAATTTCTCCTTCTTCTTCAAATCCATCTCAATTAGAAAGAACAATTCCAAGATTATCACAATACAAAGACAGGATGAGTCTTTTGCTAACGGAGATAAGGAAATTAAATATAAAGCAGTGAATTTTTTCCAAAACTTAATGGGTAGGAGAAGCTCTTAGGATCCTTGCAGAGCTACTGCTATACGAAATATTTTGCAAAGCACCATTTCAAGAGAGCAAGTTCAGATCCTTAGCAATGAAGTTACTGGGGTTGAAATTAAAGCAGTTTGCTTCTCTCTCAATTCCAATAAAGCTCTAGGTCCTGATAGATTCAATGGGTTATTCTTCCAAAAAACATGGTCAATCATTGGCGAAGACATTGTTGTTGCTATTAAAGAATTTTTTGCCACAGGTCAGCTTCTCAAGGAATTGAATGCTACTATTATTGCTCTTGTTCCTAAAGTCCCCAAACCCACAAGCATGCCTGATTTTAGACCTATCTCATGTTATAATACCCTCTATAAGGTAATCTCCAAAATTATCTAAAATAGGCTTAAAATTCTTCTTCATCATGTGATCAACCCATCTCAAACTGCCTTTATAAAGGGTAGGAGTATAACGCCTTGATTTCTCGGACCCGTTACTTGATTAAATCAATCGATCGATAATAAACCACAAATAAATCTCCGAACACAGAGTCAATAAATTTATAATCACAATTTTGATCTCCAAATACCAATAAAAATTATAAATTATATGAAAATTCGTCCATCTTTGATTCCTCAAATATAAACTCTGATCCTTCCCTCCGAGATAATCCTAAAAAATATTAAAGGCAGAGAAGTATAGAATATGACAGGAAACAATATGCTCAATAAGAAAAGAATATGAATGATCAAATATCAAATAATTCAATCGATAGACAATCATAGATAAAAGAATCAAGAATCTAATTCGATAAGTCACATAGCTCAATTTCTATAAAAAAAAATAGCCTCATATTCTAGTCCTCTTGGTGACATGACAAGTGACACTTGGACATTTAAAATTCATACTCATATCAAAAAATTACACCCCTCAGGGCTGTATTCACAATCGCACCCCGTAGGGCCATAATCACATTTCATCAATTATGCCTCCAAATACACTTCGTACATGTACCAATCACTCCCAAAGTATTTAGCCCATTGTACAGGCCAACCGATAATATTGACAAAATTTCGTATCAATCAGAATAATCAATAGTAATACAAATTTTAGATAATGAAATGACACTCTTTGTAAAGAGATTTAAAAGACAGGAACATATTGTACACTACCATGTACCTCAAAATCATTAATAACTTCAATAGATAAGAAATTCAAAGTACCCCAAATAAGACACTTCAATTTGATAATGATCGAAAGTAAAATTCACTGTTTAATTTTTTGATCCCAAAATCTCATTAATTTCTCTCTCTCCATCTTTGTCTCTCTTTCTCTCTCTCTCTCTCTCTCTCTCTCTCTCTCTCTTCCTTGCTCTGCGTTTTGCTTATTGGCAGCCCTAGGGTGCAAATGCTTGGCCTCCAAGGAAGTCATTGGACAAATGTCCATTCTCTCATGGTTGCTTCTCTCTTTTTTTTTAATAGACCACATGTCTATTGTTATCTATATATATATACTCACATATATTCTATATGTAATGTATTACTCATATATTATATCACATTTTATTTTTAATACGAAATATGACCTATGTTATACTTATTTGACTCGTTTTCACATAAATAAATCACAATTGAAGTCTATTTATTTATTTAAAATTTTTAAAAATAACCTGTAGTTATATAGAATCACAATTGACGACATGATTAGCGTGTTAGTGATTATTATTATTATTATTTTTATATGGGTCGTCACAAGGAGAATTGGGGACAATATTCTCCTGGCCCAGGAATTGCTTAGGAACTATCATAAGAATGATGGGGCCCCCAAATGTGCTATAAATGTTGATTTAATGAAGGTTTTTGACATGGTTTGATTGGGATTTCATGCTTTATGTGCTAGCTGCTCTTAATCTTCCCAGTATTGTGGTCAAATGGATTAGAGAATGCATTACTACTCCTAAGTTTTCTATCAATATTAATGGTGAATTGGCAGGGTACTTCCCAAGCGGTAGAGATCTTAGACAAGGAGACCCAATGTCTCCTTATTTATTTGTCATTGTGATGGAAGTGCTGTCAAAAATTCTTGAGCAAGGCATTCAAGATGAGCCTCAGTTTAAAAATCATTGGAGATGCAAATGACAAAAAATTTTCCAACTTTGCCTTGTTGATGACTTAATCATGTTATGTCATGGGGACCCCAAATCTGTCGAAGTTCTTAAAAAGGCGCTTGATAAATTCCAAATGTTATCTGGTTTAAAGGACAATCCTTCCAAAAGCCACATCTTCTTTTTCAAGTGTTCTTGATGAGCAACAACAGTTGATGGCTGGGTGTTTCGATTTTTCCATTGGTTGTCTGCCTTTGAATTATCTTGGGATCCCTATTATTACCATTAAGCTTAAGCTGCATAGCTGCTCTTTGTTTCTTGAGAAAGTGGATTCAAGGATTAATTCGTGGGCTAGTAGAGCTCTGTCTTATGCTGGGAGACTCCAGCTCATTAAATCTGTGTTATGTAGCATTCAGGTATATTGGGCTAGTCATCTTATGCTTCCTAAGAAGGTTCTACATGCTATTGATTAGAAGCTAAGATCTTTTTTATGGTATGGAACTGATATGAAAACAAAGGTGGCCAAAGTTGCTTGGAGCGATGTATGTGTACCCATAAAGGAAAGGGGCTTATGATTGAAAGATTTAAGGGCATGGAATAAAGCCCTCATGCTCAATCATCTCTGGCACTTAATTTATAACGACAATAACACTTGGACCAGCTGGATCAAGGAACACCATCTTAGAGGCAGGATCATTTGGGAAGTCAAACCATCACAAGTCTGTTCATGGACCTGGAGGAAGCTGCTGCAAGTCGGGGAATTAACAAGACCTTTCATTCTTTATGTTATTGGAAATGGTAGGAGTACATCTCTCTGACATGATTTTTGGCATCCGAACGGTCCTCTCCTTCTTAAATGGGGTCCTAGAGTGATTTATGATTCTGAGATCCCTAAGAATGCTAAGGTTGCCTCCATTATCCAAGGTAACCAGTGGAGGTGGCCTTCAGTCAATCCTAGAAACTCTACTATGCCCAATTACTCCCCAATAATGGAAATAAAGGATGAGTTAAAATGGCTTCCCCATGTAAATGGAAAATTCTCTATGTCAGCTTGGAATCTAATCAGGACCAACAAACCAGAGGTGCTATGGTACCATCTTATTTGGTTCAATCTATGCATTCCTAGATCCAGCTTTATCATTTGGCTTGTTATTAGGTGTAGACTGGCCACATAGGACAAAATCCATAGTTTTTCACCCAATAGTGGAACTACATGTGTGCTTTGTAGAGCTGATCAAGAATCACACTCCCATTTTTTCTTTGAATGTTCTTACTCAGAGAGTGTTTGGAGGAATGTCATCAGTAAGTGTGCTTGGCCATGGCGATTTTCTTCTTGGCAGAGTCTCATTGAGGCTATGTCCACCCAATGGAAAGGCAAGAATCTGTAGAATTCCATTAGGAAACTTTGTCTTGCTGTTAGTGTTTAATTTTCACCAATGAATATAAAAATTCAAGTACTACCTAGATAACTAATTTTCACCAATGAATATAATTTATGTTTGCTGTTTATAGGTTGTGTAGTCTGTGGGGAGTGCAAAATGCAGCACCCCCCCCCCCCCCCCCTAGACTTCCTCTGCTTGCTTTTGATGGATTGACTGCAAGCTGTTGTTGTCTTCTCCATGTTTCTTTATTTTGGTCTTTTTCCCATAGGGGTTGAATGTTGTTCTGTACATTGCTTTTCTTCAATACATCCTGTTTATTTACCCAAACAAAAAAAT